GGCACAGTAATAAGTTTATTTTGTTGTTGATCATCAGTTGATTTCTTTGCTGATTCCATAAAATCGAACTCCCCATCATTATTATAGAAAACTACTTCTGTATCTAGAGTCTGGTTGGAATAATTGAATATCGTTACGGGTATAATCAAAATTTCTCCATGTTTCACTGAATTTGGTAGATTTAGTGATATGTAGAAGGTTTGTATGGTAGTGATATCTGTGGGTCCATTTACAATGCCAAAACCCGTTATATGGTGATTTGAAAATGCCGTTATACGCCAGGTGGTTATGATGTCTGGAAGACGAAGTGTTAATTTGGTGTCAGTTTCATTGCTAGAGGGTAAAAATACATTTGGAAAGTAAATATTTTTTAAATTCTTTCAAAAGTTTTTAGAGAACTTGCATTTTATAGTTGTCAAATATCCAGGTTTCTGGGAATTTTTGACGAAAACGAAGTTGTTTTACATAAGGTGGATTACCATTGCTAAATCCTATCAAATATATTATAAAAACCACTACAGCAGTCAAAAAATTAATTAATTAACTTACCCGGCACATATTCAAATCGGTAATGAGCATTGGTTAAGGTTAACAAACCAGATGTTAGGCCGGGATATACCGTTGCCGCTATGGGAGAATATGATGTTTCCTCATATAAGTCAGACATAATCTCTGGTCCATTTAAATCATATGAACTATCTAATAAATATACACCCAAATCCACAGCTAATATACTGACGTAAGACTGAGGTTGAGCTTTCAAAGCAATAGTGACCTCTTCACCAGGTTTTACTTGTTTGGGTGCCGACATTGAGATCTAACAAATAATATTAATAAATGTGTTTCATTATTTATAGTTTTAAATACCTGATTTTCGAATTCCTGTGGAAAACTTATTATCATTTCCTCATAATGTAAATTTCCCTTGTGAACATAATAGACATAAATATATGACCTGGGTATCATTTCAATTGAGGGTGTTATGGTTATAATATGAGCTTTTTGATTGGGAGGCACTTTAATATGCTCCGTATGTATAAGACTGGCATGGCCCATTAACGTGTACATCAAGTAAGGAATGTTGACAATAGAACTGACCTCTATTTGAACGGGTTTTCCTAATTTTAGTCTAAAATTTAAAAGTTAAATGAAATTTTAATCGTCTTATTTCAAATTGTAAATATAATTTGACCTTGAAGTGGGAAATAGTTACATAAACTTACTTTTTATCTACCAATTTGAGTCGACAATAAAATTCTCTATTGATCGACATTGAATTATCACTTGTGTAAATATTAGCTAACATTTCCTTGGAATCTTTAAATTGAAAATTATGTTTTGAATTTGGTTCGTGTTCAAATTCAAATCTTGCTACACCATTTTCATCCAATAACGATTCATATATTTTACCGCCATGTTCCATAGTAATTGGGGTTTTGTGATCCAAAACAGCAGCTCCAGTCCAGCGTTTCACATAAACCTTTAGACGATAGGGTTTATTATTTTCGAATTCTATTTCATTGTATGGAATCACCAAATTATATCGTTGCCTTTTTAATTCTATTCTCTGGTGTTCTTCTACTGTTCTGTTCGTATACTTATCGGTTAGCTTTGCCTTGACCATTAGACTGTAAGCTTTTTCAACGCTCACTTTGTTCTTAAAATTAAATTCGACGAAACCTAAACTTTCTATGTAAACATGTTGGGTTTGAAGGAGATCTCCAGTATATTCATTCCATAATTCAATAGTGGCATTGCCTTCAACATGTTTATCAAATGTATATTTTCCAAATATCATAACCTTAACGTAGCCATCCTCCAGAACAATATATGAAGGAGTTTTTATATATATACTGAATTTTGGTAAAGTATAGTCAAGTATCTTAATGTTTTTATCATGCGAATAGGCATAGCTTCCGCCTAAAACAGCTTTAATTTTCCATCTTCCTAAGACGGGATATTTGGACAATTGAAATTGTCCAGTGTAAACGCCATTTGTAAGAGATATATTTTTAAAAAGTTTAACACGATTTGCATCTTTATCCTGAAAATACATAAAGATCATTTTCAAAAATGTGTGTACTAATTTGATAAATTAAAATAAAATAAAAATACAGGTTTATTTTTATTCAGACAACTTACTAATATATCCACATCAATAGGTTCTTCAGTATTTAATGGTCTCGTATGTTCATCCAATATTACAATACGAAATTTAACCAAATCCTGAGGTTTATAGATGGCCTTATCAGTTTGTATGTAAATTTTTGGACCATAATCTGGATAAGCGTTTAAACGACTTTCGTTTTTAAAAATCAATCCAGATAAACCCTCGGCTATTAATTTGTAATTTCCATGTAAAAGTTTTTTCGGAAAAAAGTGTATTAGCTTCGATTCAAATGGTTGTAGATCAATATCTTTATATTCATTATAACTGGGACCCTCAATTATTATACGTAGTGAACATGGCCCATTGGCCTCATGGAGAGCAGCAAAAACCGAATATTTACGATTAGATTTTATCACACCCGGTGCATTTATTGAATAGTAGCTGTTTTGTAAAAGTATTAATATTTAAATAAATCAAGTAATTACGTCTTAATCATAATATACGATACCTCTCAGCATTTACTGCCAGCGCCATAATTTGTATCATTAAGTAATATATAAGATAATAGCGTTTCATACTGCAACAGCGTTTCATTTGCACAATCGGTGCAAATCTTTAAAAATAAGTAATATTTAAGCTGTTTTTCTAACGTGTGTTTATACTCATTTCGAATTAATAACTAAATTTAATAAATGGAGACTAAGAAATTTATTGCATAAAAATTTATATACTCGATTGTTTTTTACAAAAAACATTTTTTTTATACCCACCATCAAAAGATTGATTTTGTCATTCTGTTTGTAACACATCGAAATATTGGTTATAGACCCACAAAAGTATATATATTCAGGGTCCTTCTAAAATTCTAAGACGAACTAGCCATGTCCGTCTGTCTGTCTGTCCGTTTTTTTGTCCGTCTGTCTGTTGAAAGCACGATAGAGACTGAACGGAAAGAGCTAAGGAGCTGAAATTCTGCATAGATACTTTTTTGATGCAGTTTGTTTGGTATTGAAAATGGGCAATATCGTTCCACAATTTCGCCTAGCCCCCATATAAAGCCCCCTTCAGAAAATGCCTTTATCGCTCATAACTGGCTAAAAGAAGCCTCAATAGCTGCGAAATTCGGCACAAACATGTCTTATTGGAACCTTAAAATGTTATAGGGATCGGCCCATAATTGACCCTACCCCCATATAAAGTCCCCTTCAGAAAATGACTTTATTGCTCATAACTGGCTAAAAAAACATCTATAGCGTTGAAATTCGACAGGAACATATTTTATAGGAACTTAAACCTCTTCGTAAGATTTTATAAGGATGGGTCCATAATTGACCCTACCCTCCATATAGGTCCCCTTCAGAAAAGTCTTTAATGATTATATCTGACCTTAAGAAGCATATATAGCAATAAAATTCGACATAAAAAATGTTTTATGGGAATTAAAACCATTTTCTTAAATTGTATGAGGATGGGTCCATAATTGACCCTACACCTCATATAAGGTCCCCTTCAGAAAATCACTTTAACGCTCATTACTGACTCAAAAATGAGAGTACATCGGTAAAATTCTACATAAAGAAGTTTTGTGCTAGCCAAAAGCACTCTGTCAAATTTTAAAAGGATCGGTCCTTAATTGACCCTATCCCCCATACAAGGCCCCCTTCAAAAAATAACTTTAACGCTCATTATTTGCTTAATACTGCGAGTACAGCGATGAAATTTGACATAAACAAGTTTCGTATGATCCAAAACCTCTTTACTAAATTTTAAGAGGATCAGTCTATAATTGACCCTTCCCCCCTACAAGATTCCCTTCAGAAAATAACTTTAACACTCATTACTGACTCAAAAATGCGATTACAGCAGTGAAATTCTACATAAACAAGTTTTGTGCTAGTCAAAAACACTTAATGAAATTTTATGGGAATCGGTCTATAATTGACCCCACCCTTCATATAAGGTCCCCCTCAGAAAATGACTGCAACGCTCATTACTGGCTGTAACGGCCAAATACGACTAACTCTCATTACTGGCTCAAAAATGCGACATAAAAAATATTTGCATAAACAGAAATCATTATAAATTTTAGGAGTATTCATTACTGGCATTAAAATACGAGTAGATATATAAAATTCGACATAAACAAGTTTTATGGGAACTGAAATCTTCCTACCAACTTTGATGAAGATGGATCGATACATGAACACTTCAGTAACATTACTTTAACTCTCATTAGTTGCTTAATATTACGACTTAGGCGATGAAATTCGAATAAATAACTTCTTTACGAAACATAATTTATGTATAAAAGTTTATAAAGATCGGACTATAATTCATCGGACTCTACCCTCCATATAACGACTCTTACAAATAAACAGTTTATGGTTATAAATAATGGACCAAAAAAATTATTCGGAAGAGCACGGTCCATACTTAAGCTCTTATTAAAGGTCCTCTTCCAAATATTTCCCTGATGTTCATATTAATATCTACATATGATGATAAAATTCAACATAGATCTAATAAATAAGAAAATTGCTTCGATAATATCAAAGTTTATTAATAAGAATGATTTTATGGTGGGTATATAAGATTCGGCATGGCGGAATATAACACTCTTACCTACTTGTTTTAGTATGAAGTATATCAACCAAAAAAAAAATTGATGTTGATTTTTTCATTCCACTTGTAACACATCGAAATATTGATCATAGATCCACCAAATTTTATACACATGTATGTACATTCCAGGCCCGTATTATACCCTCCACCACCATCAGGGATGATAGAGGATATTTATAGCTTTATATGCATACACCTAATTTTTTTAAACAATCAAGTATCTAAATTGTTTATGCAATAAATTTCTTTGTCTCCATTTATTAAATTTAGTTATTAATTCGCAATGAGTATAAGCAGACGTTAGAAACGGCATAAATAATATTTATTTTAAAGATTTGCACCGATTGTTTAATTAAATACTTGCAGTATGAAACGCTATTATCTTATATATTACTTACTGATACAAATTATGGCGCTGGCAGTAAATGCTGAGAGGTATCGTGTATTATGATTAAGACGTAATTTCTTGATTTATTTAAATATTAATACTTTTAAAAAACAGCTACTATTCAATAAATGCACCGGGTGTGATAAAATCTAATCGTAAATATTCGGTTTTTGCTGCTCTCCATGAGGCCAGTGGGCCATCTTCACTACGTATAACAATTGAGGGGCCCAGTTATAAAGAATTCAAAGATGTTGATCTACAACCATATGAATCGAAACTAATACATTTTTTGCCGAAAAAACTATTACCTGGAAATTACAAATTAATAACCGAGGGTTTATCTGGATTGATTTTTAAAAACGAAAGTCGTTTAAACGCTTATCCAGAGTATGGTCCAAAAGTTTACATACAGACTGATAAGGCCATCTATAAACCTCAGGATTTGGTTAAATTTCGTGTTGTAATATTGGATGAACATACGAGACCATTAAATACTGAAGAACCTATAGATGTGGAAATTTTAGTGAGTTGTATGAATAAAGTGTATTTTTATTAACATTTATCAAATTAGTTCATAAGTTTTTAAAATGATTTTAATTATTATAAAAATTCTTAATATAATTTGATTGTTATGTATTTTCAGGATAAAGATACAAATCGTGTTAAACTTTTTAATAATATATCTCTTACAAAAGGCGTTTACACTGGACAATTTCAATTGTCCAAATATCCCGTATTAGGAAGATGGAAAATTAAAGCTGTTTTAGGCGGAAGCTATGCCTATTCGCATGAAAAAAACATTAAGATACTTGACTATACTTTACCAAAATTCAGTATATATATAAAAACTCCTTCATATATTGTTCTGGAGGATGGCTACGTTAAGGTTGTGATATTTGGAAAATATACATTTGGTAAACATGTTGAAGGCAATGCCACTATTGAATTATGGAATGATTATACTGGAGATCTCCTTCAAACCCAACATGTTGATATAGAAAGTTTAGGTTTCGTCGAATTTAATTTTAAGAACAAAGTGAGCATTGAAAAAGCTTACAGTGTAACGGTCAAAGCAAAGCTAACCGATAAGTATACGAACAGAACAGTAGAAGAACACCAAAGAATAGAATTAAAAAGGCAACGTTATAATTTGGTGATTCCATACGATCAAATAGAATTCGAAAATAATAAACCATATCGTCTAAATGTTTATGTGAAACACTGGACTGGAGCTGCTGTTTTAGATCACAAAACCCCTGTTACCATGGAACATGGCAGTAAAATATATGAATCGTTTTTGGATGAAAATGGTGTAGCAGCATTCGAATTTGAACACGAACCAAATTCAAAACATAATTTTAAATTTAAAGATTCCAAAGGAATGTTAGCTAATATTTACACAAGCAATAATTTAATGTTGAACAATAGAGAATTTTATTGTCGACTCAAATTGCTAGATAAAAAGTAAGTTTATATACTATTTCTCATTTCAAGGTTAAATTATATTGACAATTTGAAATAACTCGATTCTATTCAATTTTAGACTAAAATTCGGAAAACCCGTTCAAATTGAAGTCAGTTCGATTGTCAACATTCCTTACTTGATGTACACGTTAATGGGCCATGCTAGTCTTATACATACGGAGCATATTAAAGTTCCGCCAAATCAAAAATCTCATACTATAACCATAACACCCTCAATTGAAATGATACCCAGGTCCTATATTTATGTCTATTATATTCACAAGGGAAATTTACGTTATGAGGAAATGATTTTAAGTTTTCCACATGAATTCGAAAATCAGGTATTTAAAACTATAAATAAAATTGAAAATTTTACTGCAATATTCAAATGTAATATTAATTACTTTTATTAAAAATACTTATTAGATCTCTATGTCGGCACCCAAACAAGTAAAACCTGGTGAAGAGGTCACTATTGCTTTGAAAGCTCAACCTCAGTCTTACGTCAGTATATTAGCTGTGGATTTGGGTGTATATTTATTAGATAGTTCATATGATTTAAATGGACAAGAGATTATGTCTGACTTATATGAGGAAACGTCATATTCTCCCATAGCGGCAACTGTATATCCCGGCCTAACATCTGGTTTGTTAACCTTAACCAATGCTCATTATCGATTCGAATATGTACCAGGTAAGTTAATTAATTTTTCACTAGTGCAGCGGTTTTAATAATATTTTTGATAGGTTCTAACCACGCTTATCCAGCTTTTGTAGATCGACCTCGTTTTCGTCAAAAATTCCCAGAAACTTGGATATTTGACAACTATAGAATGTAACTCTAAAAACTTTTAAGGAAATTACAAATTATGTACTTTCTAAATGTATTTTTCTCCTCTAGCAATGAAACTGACACCAAATTAACACTTCGTCTACCAGACACCATAACCACCTGGCGTATAACGGCATTTTCAAATCACGATATAACTGGTTTTGGCATTGCGAATGGACCCACAGATATCACTACCATACAAGCATTCTACATATCATTAAATCTGCCAAATTCAGTGAAACGTGGAGAAATTTTGATTATACCCGTAACGATATTCAATTATTCCAACCAGACACTAGATACAGAAGTAGTTTTCTATAATAATGATGGGGAGTTCGATTTTATGGAATCATCAATAGAAGGAGTAAAGAAATCAACTGATGATCAACAACAAAATAAACGTATTACAGTACCAGCGGAAAAAGCAAAGACATTGAAATTTCATATATATCCAGTAAAAACGGGTGAAATAAGTTTAAAAGTTTCTGCTTCCAGTTCCACGTATTCGGATGCTGTTTTACAGAAACTTAAGGTTGAACCAGAAGGTGTGCCCAAAGAACAAAATCAAGCTTTATATTTAAGTATTCCGGCAGGAGAGCAAATATCATCATCATTTAGTATCCAAGAGCCCGTAGATAGTGTACCCGATTCTGACTTTTTAACATTTTCTGTAGGTGGTCATTATTTAGTACCAACAGTGGATAATTTCAATGATCTAATACAAATGCCTACCGGTTGTGGTGACCAAAATATGGTGAACTTTGCACCCGGAGTCTTAATTTTGCAATATCTTAAAGCAAATGGCAAGTTTTCTAAAGAGAAAGGTTTGGTTGAAAGTCTGCGTTCATCAATTGAAGTTGCTTACCAGCAACAATTGTCGTTTCGTCATGGAAATGGTGGTTACAGTGTTTTTGGCATGGGAACCGATGAGGAGCCCAGTACTTGGCTTACCGCCTATGTGGTTCGTTATTTTATTAAAGCTGCTCCATTTATATCAATTGAAACAAAAATAATTGAATCTGCTTTGGAGTATTTGTCCAGTCAGCAAAAATCCAATGGGGAATTTCCTTATACGGGTTATTTGTTAAATCCAAAACATAAAAATGCATATGGACTTACAGCTTTCATACTTTTGGCGTTTTTGGAAAATGAAGTAAGTATAAATGGGATTTTGATAACGTGCTTAATAGAAAAATTAGCACATGTACCATATGAAAAAATAATGCAATACGAAGCAATTTGCAATAAGTTTAATTATTTTTTTTTTCACTTCAGAAATACTCCAAACAATATCAAGATACTATACAAAATGGAGTAGAATTTCTAAATTCAGATTTTAACAATACTAATGACATTTATGTATTGTCATTGATAGCAACTGCTATTAAACGAGCTAAGGACCTCAAAGCCACGCCATTAATAAACAAACTAAATCTGCTTTGTAAGGAACTTAATGGTCTCAAGTGGTGGTCGGCAAATGATGAAAATCTGGCCAATGATATTGAAATTACAGCATACTCTGCAATAGCACTACTTGAAACCCCCGGAGATCACACTTCCATCCTAAGGTGGCTAATAGAACAACGAAATGCTAAAGGAGGCTTTATATCTTCCTATGATACTGTGGTTGGCATGGAAGCTTTAGTGAAATTTTCGGAAATATATAAAGACCTTAATAATACGAGTTTAAAAATTTCCTATAGTGCAAAAGATTTGCAAGGTATTGAACTTGCAAATGATGAATTTCATGTACATTCTAAAAATATTTTAGATTTTCAAAAACTTGAGGTAAATACATTAACAAAAATGAATTTCCTGTACGGGATAGTAAAACATTTTCATATTCTTTTTCAGTTACCAAAAACAACACGCCACATTACTTTCGATATTAAGGGCACTGGCACATCTTTGGTACAACTCAATCAACAATACAACATTGTTGATGAGCAGGAATTTCGTCACTTTAATATTGAACCCAAGACAATGTTTAAGAATGATGGAGAAATTAATTTGGAAATTTGTTTCATGTACCAAGACGATTCGAATATGACCAATGAAGCCACTAATATGATAATAATGGAAGCAAATTTACCTTCTGGCTTTAAATCTGAACCGGTAGAAAGTATGTTGCTGAAAGAGAATAAACTTATACACATAATTGAGTCTAAAAACTCTGAATCTACGATAATTTTATATTTGGATAAATTGGAGTCAAACAAAAAACATTGCATTGAAATTTCGGCTGATAAGACGAGTGAAATATTAAAGCCGAAACCGGCAGCTATTATAATGTACGATTATTACAACTTGAGTCGTTCGAATACAAAATTTTATAGTTTATAAAAGATTTAGTTTTAATTAATTTTGTTAGTGATGGTCATTTAGTTTTCTCAATTCTTCGAATTTTGCGTCCAATATCATTGCTATTATTTGATAGGAAAATTATATTGTGGAAAATGTTAAATATTCTCAATATTTATTATATAAATATGTTTATTATTATATTATCGCATTCAGTACTTCACAGTGGAGCATATGTGAAATTTATTTGGAAATAAATCAAGAATGTCTAAACGATTTCTATCTGACCAGGGTAAAAATCTGACATGTTCCCAGCCAAGGTGTATTCCTGGATGAGTTTTGAAAACTTAACCTTAATCCAGAGACCAAATTATACTTTTCTAAATCTGTTATGCTCAATCACATCGGAATATGAAATGAAAATAAGTAAGAGTGCTATATTCGGCTATGCCGAATCTTAAATACCCTCCATTAGCAAGATACTTTTTGTTAAAACCCATTTAACTATTATGAGACAACTCGGCATAAGTTTTGTTTTCGTAGTGAGGTAACTATTATTTAGTAATTTCTTTATGAATATATGGAACTTGTTTTAATTAGGTCAAAAAAAAAAAATAATAATAATTAAGTGATTTTCGATGGACCAATTACGGAATATCTGGAAAAAAGTTTGTAGACTGATTAATACATACACAAAACATATTCGTGACGAATTTTACCCCGATAGCTTTATTAGTTAATGTAATATGAGCGTTTAAGTGATTTTCGGAAGTGGACCTTATATGGGAGCTATGGCCAATTGTGGGCCGATACAAATCTTCATTGGTAGTATGATTTCTGTTCATATTTTTTTATATGTGCAAAATATTGAGTTGATATCGATTGTATTTGAGGAAGTTATTATCGATAAATCCATTTCCGGAAATATGTACCTTAGTTTAGGGGCTATGGGGAATTTTGAATCGATTGTTTTGATTTTTAATATAATTTATAACTTGTGACAAAATTCATCCAATTATCTTTTGTAGTTTCTGAGAAAACGACTTAAGAAGAAAAAAACGTATTTTTTTTCGAGGTAGTCTGATATTTTTACTCATAACTTCTAACGATTTGAAACGATTTGGCTGATTTTCAATACCAAACTGCTTAGGACAACAATGAATATATTTGGTGAATTTGGTTTATTTTTGTTTGCTTAGTTTTAACGTGAGCGTGTTTTAGGCAGGCAGACAGACTGGCGGACATAGCTTCAGATTCAGAATTTGATAAGGACCCGGAATATATATACTTTGTTGGGTCTCAGATGAATATTTCTTGTTGTTACACACGGAATGACAAACTTATATATACCTAAAAACAATGTTTTTGGGTATATTTCAGAAGGCAAAACATCTTAAAGTTTAATCTGTCTACTTTAAAATTGAAGTTTAATCTCTGCTATATTTTCTGTATATAGCATTTTTGTATGAAAGAATAGAAAGTCTAAAAACATTACTTGTATCGTATTCATAAATCTCGCATTAACATCGCTATTGATATAATTTGATTCTAATACCACCAGAGTATGATTCACTCTAACATATTCAGTAAAATTCAGACAGTTGGTTCTGACCGAGTAACCTACCTAACTTGTTTAATGTGAATTTTAAAATTGTGTTGTTTTGTTTATTTAATATATATTTAATTTTTTTCAATGAATTCGTGAGAAAAAACGTAGCCACGCGCTATTTACATTATAACTTTTGTGAATATATTAAAACCAGTTTAAATTGTTTTATTAAAATGGGTTTCAAAAATTGTAATAAACAAGTGAGAAGGTATAATTGGTCATGCCCGAATATAGTTACTTATTTTATAAAAAAGCATTTTGAAAAATTTTAAATTAATTCTAAAATATTTAAGGAATTAATTGATGAAAAACTGATTTTTGCCGATGTTCATAAAATTTGGTAGAGTAATTTATGTTTATATACGAGTTACTTATACTTCCAGCAAAAATTCATGTTGATACTAAAGCTATTTGTTCCAAATTGGGAACTTCTAGCTGTTATAGTTTCCAAAATATACGAAGTTTATTATTTAACTTATAATGGAAATGCCACGCCTATTATTGAAAATTCACCAATTTTTCCAAACGTTGATATGAATTTCAGTTTTAACTATGCAAAAGTTGAGAATTCTAGATATAACAGTTTCCCAGATATGATCTGATTATTATACCCTCCACCATCATCATTGGTGATAGAGGGTATATATAAGTTTGTCATTTCGTGTGTAACACCAAGAAATATATTCATCTGAGATCCAAAAAAGTACATATATATTCCGGGTCTTATAAAATTCTGAGTCGATTTACCTATGTCCATCTGTCTCCCTAAAAAATGCTCACGTTAAAACTAAGCAAAAGATATCAACCAAATTCACCAAAAATATTCATTATAGTCCTAAGCAGTTTGGTATTGAAAATCAGTAAAATTGGTTCACAACCTAAATAGTTATGAGAAAAATTTCAGACTATTTCAGAAATGGATTTATCGTTACTAACTTCCTCGAATATACTGTTATAAACTCACATATAAATATAATATGAACAAAAATTATACTACGAACGTAGATTTGTATCGGTCTACAATTGGTGAAAGCTCCCATATAAGGCCCACTTCCGAAAATCACTTAATTACGCATATATCATTGATCAATAAAGCTATCGGGATAAAATTCGATGTGAATATTTTTTGTATGTATATATATAATTCATTATGCGAAATTTTTCCCGAATCGGTCCATAATTGGTCACAACTCCCATATACGGATCATTTTCAAAAATAACTTAAATCCACAATTGACAATAAAAGTTATCGGTATAAAATGCAACTTGAATAGGTTTTGTGTATATATAAATCAGTATGCGATATTTTTCCGAATCGGTTCATAATTAGTCATAGCTCCCATATAAGGTTCACTTCTGAAAATCTGATAAAATTCGACATGAGCATGTTTTGTGTATAGATAAATCATTCTGCTAAACTGTTTTCCAATTGGTCCATTATAGGTCGTAAGGCCATCGAGCCTTTAATTCCTTTAAGACATATAAGACCACACTGTAACTGTGTGTCATTAGTTCCCAATTTTTCTTTTCTCTTTCAAAAGTAATGACTTTCTCATTTCCGAAATATGTTGTTCTCATTACCAATTCGGTAACTAGTGGCGAACATTCTTATTGGTACTATCTTCAGGGGGTACACAGACACTACACGTTCAGGGTAGTTATTTACATGACACTTACACTTATGAATGTAAATAATATCAACTAGTAATTATTGTAGTAATCTGTATGAATGAAATTTTCTATAAATAGAAAATTGATTAAAAATATTCATTGATGAAAAAACAGAAAAAAATCTGTAATTAGGATGGTTCAAAACTAGGAGAATTTTGGAGAAATTTGTTCTGGAATCCTTTTTCGTATTCATAAACATTTATAAAAGGTTTATAGAACAAGTTTTGTATGAAAATTTCATTCATGAACCTTTGATAAATGTTTATGAATAATCCCCTAATTTTTTTAAAACAATTTTGAGAGTTACAATCATGATCACAATACCATTGCGTCTTAAATTAAGTACTCTTCTCTGAGTCATAAGTAGAATAAAATAAGATAAAGTATCTCAAGATTTTAACTAATATTTCATAACACAGAAACATTAGCTTTCGTTTTATAATATTTCTAATTTCAGTTATTATTCATCAATGTGAATAAAAGGTTGTGATCGCATAATTAAAATTGAAACATTTGAGTTTTATAATTATTTTATAATGAAATTTTACTGGTTTATTCAGTACTTGCTGATGCAGTGTATTCTAGCTCTAACTGTAAACTCAGACAGGTGTTGTATATAGCATTCATAATAAGTATTCATAAAAATGATATTTTATATTAAATAATATTTTTATTCAACAGTTACTATACAGTAAATGCTCCCGGTGTTATAATATCAAATCGTAAATATTCGATTGTTATTGCACTACACGAGGCTAGTGGTCCGTGTACTATACGCGTTGGTGTTGAGGGACCGAATTTCAATGAATTTGAAAATGTAAATTTACAGCCATATGAATCAAAACTTATAGAGATTTTGCCGAAAAAATTAATCCATGGGAATTATAGTTTAAAAGCCGAAGGTTTATCGGGTTTGAGTTTCAAAAATGTAAGTCAATTGTATGCAAATGTATATTATGGTCCAAAAATGTACATACAAACCGATAAAGCCGTCTATAAACCTCAGGATATGGTTAAATTTCGTGTTGTGGTATTGGATGAACATACAAGACCGTTAAATATAGAGGACCCTGTACATGTAGAGATATTGGTGAGTTAATGCAAGTGAAATAATATGTTTATTTTTAACCGGTTTTAAATACTTTTTTTGTTATTTTTGAGAATTTGTATTTTTATTAAGAATATAAAAAATAAACAATAACAAACAATTTAACAACAATTAAGTCGGGCTTGATTGAACAACTGAAGCCATACACAGTTGTACATAAAAACAAGAAAATATTGCCAGTTATGAATGTTAAATGTGATTTACATATATCCCCCTAAAGTTTTTATAAGTGAGTTGTGGACATTTAAGCTATTGTCTGAAGGGGGCTTTGTATGAAAGCAAGGGTAAAACAAGTGCTGATCACGAAGAAATTTGGCAAGGTCATCAAGGCTTGTATGCAACCTTGCTGATCTAAAAGTATATTTAACATAACTATGAGCTCAAAAGTCGTATTCGAGGGTTCAGTTTTATGGGGGCTAGGTGAATAATTTTCAATAAGCTGTGTCCTTGGGCTGTATGTGCCAAATTCCATCAAATTCTCTTGAAAATTGCGACCTGTACCTTGCGCCTAAACTTTACATGGAAAGCCAGCCAGACGGACGGACGGAAGGAATTGGCTTAATCAACTCAAAAAATGATTCAAAGCCGATTGGTATAGTTTGAGTTGAGTACGAACCCACTATAATGATGTATGATATAACAAGTAGGAAAGAATAGCCGGTCATGGGCGGTCATATGACACTCTAAACCAGTTAAGAGTACATGTTGAGACCAATTTTAGAATGGTTATCTTATATGAGGCTAGTGACCCATTCTCATAAATTTTGGCAGATCAATTAAGGTTCCTATATAACTTGTTTAACCTACGTTTTAATATAATTTAATGTGTTTGAGTTAGTCGAATCGGAAAGTGAATGTGAATCGAACTGTCAATTTAACGGTGGTTATTTATAGGCGTTATATAAATAACCACCACAACCATATAAACTTGTCTATTTTTCAGGATATGGAAAATAACCGTGTTAAACAATATAAAGATATATCCTTGACAAATGGCGTTTTTACCGGACAATTTCAATTATCCAAATATCCCGTATTGGGAATGTGGAAAATTAAGGTTATTCTTGGAGGAAGATATGATTACTCGCACTCAAAAGAGATCAAAATAAATAATTACGTTTTACCAAAATTCAGCGTTTACCTCAAAACTTCTTCAAGTGTTCTCTTAGAAGATGGATATATTAAGGTTGTTATTTATGGCAAATATACATATGATAAACATGTGGAAGGTACTGCCAGAGTTGAATTGTGGTCTGAATTTCCTCAAGTGCTCTTGCAAACCAAACAAGTTGATATAGAAAATTTAGGTTTTGTTGAGTTCAATATTAAGAATGAAACAGCTAGCGGAATAACTGTAAAGGCGAATCTAACGGAAAAACATACGGGTATAACTGAAACGGAAGAGCAAAATATCCGTATACAAAAACAAAGATATAATTTAGATATTCCATATAATGAAATTGAATTTGAAAATAATAAACCATATCGGCTAAATGTTTATGTAAAACATTGGACTGGTGCCCCCGTTTTGGATCACAAAACACCTGTCACCATGGAACATGGCAGTAAAGTGTATGAGGCATTTTTGAATGAAAATGGTGTAGCAACATTTGAGTTTGAACATGAAAAAGATGCCGATCATTTGTTCCATTTTAAAGATTCCAAAGAAAAGCTGTTTAATATTTACACAAGTCCAAATTTAATGTTGAACAATCGGGAATACTATTGTCGCCTTAAGTTAGTGGATAAAAAGTAAGTTTTTATAAAATTCTTGTATGTAAAATTATATGGAAGCTTTAAAACTTTTTCAGAATTGAACTCGGTAAACCTGTGCTAATTGAAGTAAGTTCTATTGTCGATATACCCTATCTGATGTACACAATAATGGGTCATGCCAGTCTTATACATACAGAGCACATAAAAGTACCGCCCAATCAAAAGTCTTATATCATAAGCATAACACCTTCTATTGAAATGATTCCCACGTCCTTCATCTATGTTTACTATGTGCATAAAGGTAATTTACGTTATGAAGAAATGTCCCTAAATTTTCCAAAAGAATTTGAAAATCAGGTATTGAAGTGCTTATTTAAAAACTAATGTGCATTGTTCTAATGGATTGTTTTCTTCAGATATCGCTATCAGCCCCCACACAAGTAAAACCAGGTGAAGATGTTACAATTACTATTAATGCTCAACCTAAATCCTATGTGAGTTTATTGGCCGTGGACTTGGGTGTATATTTGCTGGATAATTCATATGATTTAAATAGGAATGACATTCTAAGTGAACTTATCAGTGAAAGATCATTTTCTGTAGTCGATTTTTCACAATATCCTGGCATAATATCCGGTTTGTTGACCTTAACGAATGCTCATTATCCAGTTCAATCTTATGGTGGTAAGAAAATGTGTATAATTAGAGATTGGTATTGTGTTAATATAATTTTGTGAATATATAGGTGGTGGTGGTTCTGGTCATTATAATCCGACTTCTCTAAAGTTTCGCCAGAAGTTTCCAGAAACATGGATATTTGATAATTTTATGATGTAAGTATTTAAAGTTAATCCTATTGTAGTTTTGTTAAGATTTTACAAAATTGTAGTAGAGTAGTTTTTTACAATTAGAGTATTTGGGGGACATGCGGTAACCATAGAAAGTTTGTTGCTCTATCCCGATCTCAGATGCTCCAGATGGGTTCTCTGTGAATGTAATTCAAAGCTGTCGTATACAATTATTGATACAAGGGATCCTACACATAACCAAGGGAGCATCCAAATGTGTGATGTTAAAGTTGGGATGACTTCCCATCCCCAAAGGAACTGTTTAGTCGATTTTGTTATGTTCCACTACTTTGATTATTGGTGCTATATTGTTCTTACAGAACGCAGCGAACATTTCACTGGATGAACAGTTCGTACAATTCGTGTTGTAATCTATATGTAGTGGTGAAGTGAATTGGTTACCAAGACGTTTAATATAAACCAGATCTATGAAACTGATGATGCATGTCAATAAGCGATAGAAACCTCTGAGCAAATGTAACCGATGAAACACAATTCAAAAGTCCAGAACTGGAAAATTCTGAAATATAGATGGATATTTATAAATTACATTAGAAACTTCTGAATTACAATGGGAAATGTTATAGTTTTGCATTTAAATACATATTTTAAAAATTATGTACATTGTTCGGAATCAGAACATTCCGATAAATTGAAAGACCATTTGCAGCATTCATTGTTAAATTATTTTTCTCAATAATTTTATATTGCTTCTTCTTTTTTCAGCAATGAAACTACCACTAAACTAACGCTACCTATACCCGATACCATAACTACTTGGCGCATAACGGCATTTTCAAATAATAACATAACAGGATTTGGTATAGTCAATGAACCCACGGATATCACAACCCTACAATCTTTCTTTATATCAATAAATCTACCATATTCAGTAAAACGTGGAGAAATTGTGAACATACCCATAACAATATTCAATTATCTCAATCAAAACTTAGATACAGAAGTTGTGTTTTATAATAACGATCAGGAATTCTATTTTATGGAATCGAATATAGAACGTACGAAAAAGTCCGTTGATGAACAACAAGAACAAGTTAAATTAGTTACTGTACCGGCAAATAAAGCCAAAACAATGAACTTCTTTATAGATCCTATACAAGTGGGTGAAGTGAGTTTAAGAATAGCAGCCACAAGTTCTTCATATTCAGATGCTGTCATTCAGAAACTTAAAGTTGAACCAGAAGGTGTGCCTAAACAAAAAAGTCAGTCTTTATATTTAAGTGTTCCGGAGGGAGAGAAAATTTCCTCATCATTTAGCATTGAAGAGCCAGAAGATAGTGTGCCTGATTCAAATTATATTACGTTTTCTGTGGGTGGTCACTATTTAGTGCCAACAGTGGAGAATTTCGACAATCTTATAGAAATGCCAACTGGTTGTGGTGAACAAAACATGGTAAATTTTGCTCCCAAAGTTTTAATATTGCAATATCTGCAGGCTAATGGCAAGTTTTCCGAAGACAGTGATTTGGTTAAAAGTTTACTTTCATCCATTGAGGTGAGCTACCAACAACAGCTATCATTTCGTCATGCAAATGGTGGCTTTAGCGTTTTCGGCATGGGTACTGATGATGAGCCCAGCACTTGGCTTACCGCCTATGTGGTGCGTTATTTTATGAAAGCTTCTGAATTCTTATCAATTGAAGATAGATTGATAGAATCTGCTTTGGAGTATTTATCCAGCCAGCAAAATTCAAATGGAGAGTTTCCTTATACGGGTTATCTGCTTAGTCCTCACCATAAAAATGAATATGGACTTACAGCCTTTATACTCCTGGCATTTTTGGAAAACGGAGTAAGTTAATTTTTGATTATATAAGATATGAGAAAATAGATTTGATAATGATATTTTGTTAATTTTAGACCTATTCCACGAAATATCAAAATACCATACAGAATGGTTTAGAATTTTTAAATTCAAATTTAAATAACATCAACGATATATATGCATTATCGCTAACAGCTGCGGTTATGAAACGTGCTAAACATCCTAGTGCTAATAATCTTATAAAGCTATTGAATTCACATAGTAAAGAGGAAAATGGTCTTAAGTGGTGGTCAGGAGATGATCATAACTTGGCCGATGATATTGAAATTACTGCATATGCCGCTATAACTTTACTGGATACTCCGGGAGATCACACTTCTATACTTAAGTGGTTGATAGAACAACGAAATGCCAATGGTGGTTTTACATCATCCTATGACACTGCGGCTGGCATGGAGGCTTTAGTGAAATTTTCGCAAATATATAGAAATCCTGAAAATGTTAATCTAAAGATTTCGTATAGTGCCACAAATCTGGAGGACATTGTAGTGGCAAATGATGAACTCTTCATGGACTCGAATAATATTTTGGATTTGCAAACACAAGAGGTAATATAATTACTTCATTAATTGCTCCTAAACAACTGAGAATACTTTCCTTTTCTAGTTACCGCAAACAACACGTCGTATAAATTTCGAGATCGAGGGTTATGGTGCTGCTTTGGTACAACTCAATCACCAATATAACATTGTTAATGACAGAGAATTTCGACATTTTATTATACGGCCTAACGCTAAAGTTAAAAATAATAATGACATTAATTTAGAAGTATGTTTCGTTTACCAAGGATTTTACGACATTAACAATGAAGTTACCAATATGGTGATAATGGAAATAAATTTACCCTCTGGTTTTGCATTTGAAGCTGAAAATAGTATGTCTTTAAGACAAAATAAAATTGTACAGAAGATCGAGACGAAAAATTCAGAATCAACGCTGATTTTATATTTGCAAAAATTAGAGGAAAATACTAATTATTGTCTAGAGGTTCCAGCAGAGAAAAGAAATGAAATTATAATGCCGAAACCGGCTGCCATTATAATGTATGACTATTACAATTTGACGCGTTCGAATACGGAATTTTATACTATATAAATAAAATGTTTAATATTCTAAATCAAAAATCTTTATAGAGTGGTAGAATGAAAAATTTTTTGTATTTTAAAGTTATAAATATGTATAGAGAAGACTATTGAGTTTGAAAATTTTGAATGGGAACCCTATATTCCCACCAAGCAAGCGTGTATCGTAAGTTTAAAGTATCGACCGTTCGTCAACTAATTTGGTATCACGATTTAGTCATTTATAACTTATTCCATCAACACATGGATTATTGAATCAATATTTGAATTGTTAAATAAATCTTTATACATATTTATGAAGGTCCGAGCAGTGTAATGTAATAAAAGTACTTAGGATTATGTGGGCTTTATTCGAATATAATCTTATCTGGAGTTTTTTTCAATGATTACTCGGAAAGTTCTTCAAATGTACGAGACATTATATTTCTGACGTATTAACCTGTATAGGACCTATTTCTCAAAGGATCCATAATGCAAAAACCTTTATACTAAATGTTCAAGTTTGCACCCTCTCCTTCCTTTATAGACGGGCTAATAAAACTAGATAATCTCAGTATTAACGACCAACATTTCGATGAGTTAAAGAAGGAATGTCAAAATCTATATATCTTCATATCTTTCCATTACATCCAGTATAATTCGGTATAGCAATATAAAATATTCCTTAATATTTAAACTTCAATCAAGTAAGAGAGGAATTATACGAGGATAGGGTCAATTATAGACTGATCTATATGAACTTTAATAGATAGGCTGTGTTTCTTATAAAAATTATACTTGCCTACAAATTTTTAGCCCAGAAACCAAAGAATACTACTCTAAAGGATTTAGCTGCGCTGAATCCAAATTGGAGTTACTCAATCACATCTTGGTTTCGAGATAACGTGCCATTTTCTGAGACGTTATAATAGCGCAAAGACAACTTATTTTTAAAATGTTGTTTGCCGTATGAAAGTACATTCTGTCACTTTAAAATAAAGACTTAACATCTGACATATCTTCCTTGTTCTTCGAGATATCATTACATAAAACATGATGCAACAATAAATTGACAAAAACTGAATTTTTTTAGTTTAAATTTCAGCACACGATATCTCAATTCTAAGATGTGATGGAGAACATCTTAGGAAAATCAGATTCGCATTCAGAGTGGCTCAATACTTTAGAAAAGTACAACTCAGGGTTTCGACTTTTTTCAAATTTTGTCGGTCTGTGTTTATTTATATCTAAATTTATTGTTATACTGTATTTTTAAAGTCAATTATGAAGGTTAAAGTCATTTTCTGAAGACGACCTTATATGACCCAGACTTTTTGGAGGTTACGATCAATAATTCGATATTTTACAAACGAAATGACCACATTAATGTTCTTCTTATCTTTTTTTAATGATAGGTATAAAAATTATCTTATACGAGCTTTGACTGATCCAAATATTTTTCAGAAAGAGATATCGATATCCATTTTTGTCAATGAAATATGTGCAGCTAAGTAATTTTTGGAAGAGGACGGTATATCGGATACCAGACAAATTATGGGCCCATCCAGAAAAAATTTAGGAGTGATTTGTATATATAAAAACTTATTTATGAGGAATTTTAGTCCAGTATCTTTATTTATCAATGAAATATGCGATTTTTGGAAGTGGATCTTATATAGGAGCTATGACCAATTATGGGTTGATCCGGAAAATATTTCTCAGGATGGTTCATATCTACTTTAAACACATTCATTACGAAATTTATACCGATATCTTCATTCAGTAATGAAATATGTATATAACGGGTTATCATAAGTGGGCTATTATATGCTAGGTATGACCAATTAATGACCGATCCGGAAAAAAATTGGTAGAGTCATATATGTATACACAAAACATATTTATGTCGAATACTATTCCAATATCTATATTTCTTAATTATTTATGTGCTTTTAAGTAGTTTTCGAAAGTGGGCCTTATATGGGAGCAGAGACCTAATATGGACCAATCCGGAAAAAATTTCCCAGGGTCTTTTATATGTACTTTAAACACATTCATGATGAATTTTATACCGATATCTTCATTTAGTAATGAAATATGTGTGTTTACGTGGTTATCGGCAATAGGTCTTATATGGGAGCTATACCAAATTATGGACCGATCCGAAAAATATTTTCCAGAGTGATATATGTATACAGAGAACATATTTATGTCGAATATTATTCCAATATTTTCATTTCTTAATTAGTTATGTGGACCTTATATGGGAGATATGCCCAATTATGGACCGATCCGAAAAATATTTTCCAGACTGATATATGTATGCACATATAATTAGTTATGTGAATTTAAGTGATTATCGGGAGTGGACCTTATATGGGAGCTATGACCATTTATGGACCGGTACAGATTTATGTTGGTAATATGATTTCTGTTCATATTATATGTATATTCGCAGTGTTACCGATATTTTTGACGAAGTTATTAATGATAAACCCATTTTCGAAAATATGGACCTTTACATAGAGGCTATGAGAAAATTTGGATTGATTGTTTTGCGTGTCTTCACAGACAGACAGACAGACGGACATAGCTAAATCGACCGAGAATTTGATAAGGACCTGGAATATGTATACTTTGTTGAGTCTCAGATGATCACCACTGATGGTGGTGGAGGGTATAATAAGAATACATAATACAAAATGTGATGCCTTAGCAAAAATGAGTATGCAATATAATTTACTGAATCTGCAAGGTTTTTTACTCTTTTGGAAATACCCTTAAAAACCGGTGAAAAAATTTCAGCAGATAACCATGTATAGCAGTGAAAAAGTGTGTAATCTTCTTAAATATTTCTGAATTCAGTTGATCACTTTAAACAACAACAAGCGGTTGTTTTGTTCAACAAAATAATTTACAAAATCTCTATAATGAAACGCAATTGTTTTTTTCGATACTTGCTTCTGCTGAATATGGCGCTAGTCGTAATTACTGAAAGGTATTTCCAGTTATATTACGATTTATATTTTTAAACTAAAAGAAAACAATTGCTATACAAATTACAGTTATTATACTATTAATGCACCCGGTGTTATAAAATCAAATCGTAAATATACGGTTATAGTTGCTCTACATGAGGCCAATAATTCATGCTTGATGCGTGTTGGCATAGAGGGACCGGGATTTAAAGAGTTTAAAGATGTAAATTTAGAACCATATGAATCAAAACTATTAGAGTTTATGCCGGAAAAAATAACATCTGGCGATTATAAATTAACAGCTGAGGGTTTATCAGGTTTGATTTTTAGAAATGAAAGTCGTTTAAACAATATCATAGGCTATGGCCCAAAAATTTACATACAGACCGATAAGGCAATTTATAAACCTGAAGATGTGGTTAGATTTCGTGTTCTTATATTGGATGAACATACAAGGCCATTAGATATTAAAGATCCTGTAAATGTGGAGATAACGGTGAGTAAGTATATTGATTTTGAAACTTAATTTAACAAAAAATATTGCTGTACAATTTTAGGATAGTGCTGGCAATCGCGTTAAACTTTACGAAAACATAACACTGACATATGGTGTTTACACTGGCAAATTTCAATTGTCCAAATACCCGGCCTTAGGAACTTGGAATATTAAAGTTGTTCTTGGTGGAAGATATGAATACTCCGACTTTAAAACTATTAATATTTTAAACTATATTTTACCAAAATTTAGTGTCTATCTAAAAACTCCCACGGATATTGTTTTGGAAGATGGTTACATTAGGGTGGTAATCTATGGAAAGTATGTTTTCAATAAATATGTGGAAGGCAATGCTACTGTAGAATTGTGGAACGATTATGCCCATATGCTTTTACAAACCAAACAGCTTGACGTAAACAATTTAGGTTTTGTGGAGTTTAATATTAAGAACGAAAAGGACTTTGAAAACGTCTATGGTTTAAGTGTTAGAGCGAATTTAACCGAAAAACATACGGGCAGAACGCAAACAGAAAAACAAGATATATATTTACATAAACAGCGTTATAATTTACAAATTCCTTATGATGAAATCGAATTTGAAAATAATAAACCCTATCGGCTGGAAGTTAAGGTGAGTCATTGGACGGGGGCACCTGTTTTGGATCGTAAATCCCCAGTTACCATGGTACATGGCAATAATTCTTATGAAGCATTTTTGGATGAAAATGGTGTTGCAACATTTGAGTTTGAACATGATTCAAATGCCAATCATATATTTCAATTTAAAGATACAAAATTAGACTTCTCGAATATTTTCACCAGTCAGAATTTAATGTTGAACAATAGGGAATTCTATTGTCGCCTAAAGTAGGTGGATGAAAAGTAAGTTTGTATTCTCAAGTGAAGCAAATTTAAAATTATTTTCATTTCAGACTAAAACTCGGCAAACCTGTACTCATTGAGGTTAGTTCTATTCTCGATATTCCTTATCTGAAGTACACAGTAATGGGTCATGCTAGCATTATACTTACGGAACATATTAAAGTACCACCCAATAAAAAGTCTCATATTATAAGCATTACACCGTCAATTGAAATGATACCCGAATCTTTTATCTACGTGTACTACGTTCACAAAGGTAATTTACGTTATGGTGAAATGCGTTTTACATTCCCTAAAGAATTCGAAAATCAGGTATTCCATAAAATGTACAAAAACTTGTTTAACTTAACTTATTTAAGCAACAATTATAGATCTCCCTGTCAGCTCCCGAACAAGTAAAACCGGGCAAAGAAGTTACTATTTCTATAAGTGCCCAACCCAAGTCTTATGTTAGTATATTGGCCGTGGACTTGGGTGTTTATTTATTGGATAAAACATATGATTTAAATAGGGTAGAGATATTGGACGAACTTATTGAGGAACGATCATATGCTCCTATAGCAGCTACCGTATATCCCGGTATAGTAACGGGACTTTTGACCCTAACTAATGCTCACTATCCATTTAAAAATCATAGTGGTAAGTTATTAAGTTGGTCTGAGTTAAAAAACTTCTGTAAAGGAAAGTTTTTTTTTTAAGTTAATGTTTGGAATTTGGGTCTTATAAACTAAATGCGAAGTTTTTTAATATCAGAGCTAACATTTAGAAATTTAATTTCCAAGTTGTTCCTCACTACATGCTATTAATTAATGTTATTTTATTGTAGGTGTTTCTGGTTCCGAGGCTTTTCGACCATTTGCTTATAATTTTCGCCAAAAGTTTCCTGAAACCTGGATATTTGACAATTTCTTAATGTAAGTTAAAATAAAACAAACATTTAACTAATCCCGATTAATATTTAAATTCTATTTCAGCAACGAAACTATAACCGAATTAACTCTACCAATACCTGATACCATAACGACATGGCGTCTAACGGCATTTTCAAATAATAAAGTAACAGGATTTGGCATAGTTAATGGGCCCACCGATATCACCACCATACAATCCGTTTTTATAGCATTAAATCTACCGTACTCAGTGAAACGTGGTGAAATTGTAACAATTCCCGTAACAATATTTAACTATTCCAATCAAACCTTGGAAATGGAAGTTGTTCTACATAATTTCGATCAAGAATTTGATTTTATGGAATCTAATAAGCAAGGCATAGAAAACTCTACTGATAATAGGCAACAAATTAAAAGCATAAGTATTCCGCAGGACAAAGCCGAAACGGTTAACTTTCTTATATATCCCTTAAAAGCAGTTGAGCTTAATTTGATTGTTAGTGCAATAAGTAAACAGAGTGCCTTTTACTCGGATGTTGTTTTACAGAGACTTAAAGTGGAACCGGAAGGTGTGCCCCAACAAACCAGTCAGTCTTTATATTTGAGTATACCGGCTGGAGAAAAGATATCTTCAACATTACGAATTCAAGAGCCTGATAATAGAGTACCCGATTCTGATTATATTAGCTTTTCTGTGGGTGGTCATTATTTAGTGCCAACAGTAGAGCATTTCGAGGAACTACTACAAATGCCCACTGGTTCTGGTGACCAGAATATGGTAAATTTTGCACCGAAAGTTTTGATTCTGCAATATCTTAAAGCAAATGATAAATTAACTAAAGAGAAAGATTTGGTTGAAAATTTACTTTTATCCATTGAGGTAAGCTACCAGCAGCAGCTATCCTTTCGTCATGATAATGGTGGTTATAGCGTTTTTGGCAAGGCAACCGATGAGGAGCCCAGTACTTGGCTTACCGCCTATGTGGTGCGTTATTTTATTAAAGCCTCACAGTTTTTATCCATTGAGGTAAAAATAATTGAAACTGCTTTGGAGTATTTGGCCAGTCAGCAAAAATCAAATGGTGAATTTCTTTACACGGGTTACCTATTAAATACGAATCATGACAATCCCTATGGACTTACAGCTTTTATTCTATTGGCATTTTTGGAGAGTGAGGTAAATAATATTGTTAAATTTCGTTAAATTTTACACTTAATCATATTATTTTCTTTATTTCAGCAATATGCCAGCCCATATCAACAACTCATAGAGAATGGACTAAACTTTTTAAATTCCAACTTAAATAATATCACAGATGTCTATGCATTATCGTTAGTGGCTACTGCTCTAACAAGTGCTAAACAGCCAAATGCCAATTCCATAATAAATCAATTAACTTCACAGGTTATAGATGAAAACGGCTTGAAATGGTGGTCAGTTAATGATCAAAATTTAGCCAGTGATATAGAAATTACAGCATGTTCTGCTATAGCTCTGCTTGATACACCGGGAGATCATACTTCAATTTTAAAATGGTTAATTGAACAACGTAATAAAAATGGTGGTTTCAAGTCCTCTTCCGATACTGTAGTAGGCATGGAAGCTTTGGTGAAATTTTCACAAATATATAAAAATCTGGAAAACGTTAAGTTGAATATATCCTACAGTGCCAAAGATTTGCAAGGTATTGAAGTGGCAAATCGTAAATTCTATATAAATACGAACAATATTTTAGATTTGCAAAAACATGAGGTATGCAATTTAGTACAAAATGTAACTATTACATAAAATAACATGTAATTTTAACTTATTTCAGCTACCAAGAAACACACGTCAAGTTACCTTTGAAATAACGGGCAATGGGGCCTCTTTAGTACAACTTGATCATCAGTTTAACATAGCAAATGAGCGGGATTCTATTCATTTCGATATCAAACCGAAATTTGTGTTCAATAATACCGAAGAAATTACTTTGCAAGTTTGTTTTACATATCAAAAGGACTCGGAATCAGTTAACCAAATCAGTAATATGGTGATAATGGAAGCAAATTTACCCTCCGGTTTTAGATTTGAGGAAGAGAGTAGAATGTCTTTAACGCAAAACAAACTTATACAAAAAATTGAATTTAAAAATTCCGAAACAACGATAATTTTATATTTGGATAAATTGGAAGGGAATAGTAATCATTGTCTAGAGATGCCAGCCGATAAAACAAATGAGGTTTTAATGTTAAAACCGGCTGCCATTAAAATGTACGACTATTACAACTTGAGTCGTTCAAATATAAAATTTTATAGCATATAAGTGAAATTTATTTAAATTGTTTGGAAAATAAAAAAATGTGGTCCAAAATTAACATAAAATATATGCCTAAATAAACTTATTATGTATTCTTATAGATCTAGCACTCTACAGTTCGCAATTTTAAAGATAATTAAGTGAAAAAACTGCATATGTACCAAACTTATTCTTGTTCTCTTCAAAATTACGATTCATCTTAAAGATCAAAATCGCAAATAACTTGATAAAATTCGATTTTTTATTTGTTATATATATGTACTTCAAGTGCTTCTCTAAAATTAGCGTATACTTAATATTTGTAATATCAATAAATCATTAACACGTATACGAACAGTTGTCGTCAATAAAAATAGTGCAATTTCACAATGACATAACGAAAGACGATGTTTTTTTTTGATTCTATATATTCAGAATTTCTTTTATGACAAGAGCATAATATGAATCTGAGAAAATCAAAAACGTTCATGACTTTGGGCTAAACTGGGAGAAACGAGATTTTTTTGTGGCTTTAATCACGTAGTAGTGAAAAAGATGCGCACAATTATAACAAATAAACAAGTTAGAGTGCTATATTTGGCTGAGCCGAATCTTAAATACCCTCCACCAGCTACTTTTATATTAGTATTTTTTTAATTGATAAAATACTTGTAGAAATAAGTTTTCTCATGTCTTAAATAGAAAAAGATATGCTTTAGCGATATTTAATAACTTGCATGTATGTATGTGTGTGAAAGATTTAAGATTTTCAAAATATATATAATTTTGTTGCACACAAATTGATAATGAAACTAGTTAAATACGGTTAAAGTGATTTTAGGGGCAGGACCTAGTGTGGGAGATATGACCAATTATAGACCGATCGTAAAAAATTCTTTAAGCTAAATTTCTGTACATAAAAGCTATATTTCAGTCAAATTTTGTATCTATATCGTAATTTAGTTATAAGTCATGTGTATTTAAGTGATTTTCTGAAAGGAACCTTGTATGGGACCGATCGCACCCATGTTATGAACCGATCGTGAAAAAATCTTGAAATAGAATTTTCGTATACAAAACTAATATTTGTGCCAAATTTTGTATTAATAGCTTTATTTGGTAATGAGAATGTGCGTTTAAGAGATTTTCGTAAACGAACGACATCGCATATATAGCGCTGTCGAATTTCATCGCTATATATGCTTCTTTAAGACAGTTATGAGCGTTAAAGTCATTTTCTGAAGAGGTCCTTATATGGGGCTAGTGTCAATTATGGACCGATCCATACTAAATTTTATAATAATATTAACGTTCCTATAAAATATGTTCATGTCGAATTTCATCGCTATAGATGCATCTTTTAGACAGTTATGAGCGTTGAAGTCATTTTCTGAAGATGACCTTATATGAGGGGTAGGGTCAATTATGGACCGATCCTTATAAAATTTTACAATGATATTAAGGTTCCTATAGAATATGTTCATGTCGAATTCCATCGCTATAGATGCTTCTTTAAGGCAGTTATGAGCGTCAAAGTCATTTTCTGAAGGGGACCTTATATGGGGGGTAGGGTTAATTATGGACCGATCCTTATAAAATTTTACAAAGCGATTAAGGTTCCTATAAAATATGTTTATATCAAATTTCATAGCTATAGCTGTTTCTTTTAGTCAGTTATGAGCGTTTAAGTCATTTTCTGAAGGGAACCTTATATGGGGGTAGGCGAAATCGTGGTCCGATATTGCCCATTTTCAATACCAAACAAACTGCATCAGTATAAAATGTCCATGCAAAATTTTAGCCCGCTAGCTACTTCCATTTGGACTCTATCGTGTTTTCAACAGACAGATAGGCAGACAGACGGACATGGCTAGATCGTCTTAGAATTTAATAAGGATCCACAATATATGTATATACTTTTATGGGTCTTAGATGAATATTTCGATGTGTTACACGGAATGACAAAAACCATCTTTTTGATGGTGGGTATAAAAATATACTTCAAGTGCTTCTTTTTATTAGGCGTATACTTAATATTTGTAATATCCATAAATCATTAACACGTATACGAACAGTTGTCGTCAATACAAACAATTTAACATGGTGAAATTGCACTTACAATGTAAAACTTTTCACTTAAAGTGGAAAAAATGAAAACGACGTATTTTGATTCTATGTGGTCACAATTTCTTTTCAAGATCAAGATATGAGCCTGAGAAAATGGGCAAAACTGTGAGACACGGGTTTTTTTTTTTTTTTTGGTGATTTATCACGTAGTGGTGAAAAAATGCGCACAGTATAATTATGACAAATAAAAAAATACTAATAATTGTAATCAAAAGATAATACTAACATTTGTTATAAAAACCCTTATAGTTTTCAAATCTAAGAACAATTTCTTAATATTTCTTAATATTCTTATTACTATAAACATTTTTGAAATTTTAGCTTTTTAAAGCCAAATAAGAAAACAAGAAAAGTGACCAAATGACTAAATGAAGGTTAACCTGGCAACATTGCTCAAAAGTTACACTGAAATTACGGAATTGGAAATGGTTCTACGAGTGAAGAAGTCTCTTAGAAGTTGACAATATAATTAATTTTGTTGGACTTTGTAGAGGAACTCCACATAATTTAAACGAGTAATTGTAGACATATTTATGATCACACAAAAACATATTTGTATGTAATTTTATTGCAATATTAATACACAATTATAAGACTAGTATGAATGAACGGAATACTATATGGGGACCCGATTTTTATTTTGACTGTTTATTGCTGTGTTATCAATATATTTATAATTGGTGAATATAATAAATATATTCAAATATATTCAAACATTTTTTAACAACCGGTATGACAAAATTAATATAACAATCTCCCCCCCCATTTTGGTTTTACTTTCTTGTCATTATAAATGGAATACCTGAAAAATTAACTTTGTTTTTGTAGATCTTCTAAGCTTAGTAATTAATTCTCAATGAGATTAAGTGGTTGTTTGAAACGGCAAAATATTAATTTAAAATTTTGCAGTATGAAATGTCATTGGTGTATTCTGTATGTGTTGATGCAATGTATGGTGTTAGCAGTAGTTTCCGAAAGGTATCTTAAGGTTCAAATGAATAATATTAAAGTATGAGAAATTGATAATTTTCATTATTAAACCATCAGTTACTATTCCATTAATGCTCCTGGTGTTATAAAATCAAATCGTAAATATTCAGTTGTTGTTAGTCTTCACGAGGCCAGTGAACCTTGTTCGATACGTGTTGGCCTTGAGGGAACCAGTTTTAATGAGTTCAAAGATGTCAGTCTACAACCATTTGAATCAAAAGTTTTAGATTTTTTACCGAAAAAATTAAGCAAAGTTGTTTACAAATTAAAGGCCGAAGGCTTGACGGGCTTGATTTTTAAAAATGAGAGCTTTGTTCACGTGCAATCAGATTATGGTTTAAAAATATATATACAAACCGATAAGGCCGTTTATAAACCACAAGATGTAGTTAAATTTCGTGTCGTTATATTAGACGAACATACGAGACCATTAAATATAGAAGAACCTGTTAAAGTTGAGATATTGGTGAGTATATGTATGTACATGCATATATATGTGTATCCACATGTGTATAAAATGTGAAATCGGCAAAGTGTGTATTAGAACTGAAGAAAAAAAATAAATAATTATTTAATTAATTAACAAAAACAAGTAAAAAAATGCTTAATCAACATTTCAGGATAATGATGATAATCGCGTTAAACTCTTCGAAGATATCTCCCTCAGAAATGGAGTGTATACAAACCAATTTCAATTATCCAAATACCCCGTCTTAGGAACTTGGAAAATTTATGTAAATTTAGGTGGAAAATATGATAACTCCAAGTCTAAAACTATTAAAGTACTCAACTATATTCTACCGAAATTTAGTGTGTACCTAAAAACACCTACGGATGTTGTCTTATCGGATGGTTATATAAAGGTTGTTATCTATGGGAAGTATACATTTGATAAGTATGTGGAAGGTAATGCAACTGTTGAACTATGGAATCATTATACAAACGAGCTATTACAAACCGAACAAGTTGACATAGAAAGTATAGCATTTGTCGAGTTCAATCTTAAAAACCTAAAGAATCTAAATGATATATACGAGTTAATTGTAAAAGTCAAAATAACCGAAAAACATACGGGTAGAACTGAAGAAGAAGGACAAATTATTAACTGTCACCAGCAACATTATAATTTGGAAATTCTAGAGGATGAAATAGAATTTGAAAATAATAAACCATATCTACTGAAATTAAAGGTAAAACATTGGACTGGTGCTCCCGTATTGGATCATAAAACACCAGTTACAATGGAACATGGCAATAAAGTGTATGAAGCCTTTCTGGACGGAATGGGTTTAGCAACATTTGAATTTGAACATGATTCAAATTCTAGTCATAAATTTCAATTTAAAGATTCCTTAGGAATGTTGGCTAATATATACACAAGTGATAACTTAATGCTAAACAATCGGGAATACTATTGTCGGCTGAGGTTGGTGGATAAAAAGTAAGTCTGATAACAATTCTAAACGTTATATATTAGAGCCCCGGGACTACCTAGAAATACTCAAAAAGTATAGATACATTTGTTACTAGACTATATCATTTATTAATACATTTTGGCTGCTTCCAGATTAAATTTCCGAAATCCGGTACTTATTGAGGTTAGTTCTATTCTCAAAATTCCCTACTTAATGTATACGATAATGGGTCATGCCAGTCTTATACGTGCGGAATATATTAAAGTACCGCCCAATCAAAAATCGCATATAATAACCATAACACCCTCAATTGAAATGATACCCAGATCCTTTATTTATGTGTATTACGTACACAAAGGCCATTTACGTTATGAGGAAATGCGTTTAGATTTTCCAATAGAATTTGGAAATCAGGTAGAAACTAACATTTAATAAAACACAAATTTTATTTTATATCAATATAAATTATTTACAGATCTCACTCTCAGCGCCTAAGCAAGTTAAACCTGGTGAAGATGTCACCATAGTTATCAGTGCTCAGCCCAAGTCATATGTTAGTATATTGGCCGTAGATTTGGGTGTATATTTGATGGATAATAGCTACGATTTGAATAAGAATGACATATTACAAGATATGTATGAAGAAGTTTCGTATACAACCATAGCTGCTACAATATATCCCGGCATACAATCTGGTCTATTAACGTTAACTAATGCCAACTATATATTTGCAAACAATCTTTGTAAGTAAATTTATTATAGATTACTGAATAATGGATTAAATACATATAAACAAATTATAGTTGCTCAAGAGCCAATTGAACCACCATCATATCGTTTTCGTCAAAATTTTCCGGAAACTTGGATATTTGATAACTTTGAAATGTAAGTAAAAATTTTAGTTTCTAATACACATGTTTAGTTGGCTTAATAATACTGGAACTTGAAAGGAGGATGTATATGAATAAATACACTTGGCCCCCAGAGGCCCTGTTGTGTGCTCCTTTACCATTTTTCTGGCGCTCGATCTTCGGCTTGACAGACTAGATCACTAACTACTAACCAATCAGAGTCACATGTAATATTTTCATAGGTTATTTCGGAAATTTTGCTCATATCTCCGTTATTATACCCTTCACCACCATCAGTGGTGATAGAGGGTATATATAAGTTTGTCGTTCCGTGTCCTTATAAAATTCTGGATCCTAATAAAATGTCCGTCTGTATGTCTTTCTGTGTAAAACACGCTCACGTTAAAACTAAGCAAAGGGAATCAACCAAATTCATCCAAAATATTTATTATTATCCTATTCAGTTTGGTATTGAAAATCAGCAAAATCGGTTCACATCGTAAAAAGTTATGAGTAAAAATTTCAGACTACCTCGAAAAAAATTAAGTTTTTCCTAATTCTTAAGAAGTTTTCTCAGTAACTACCAAAGATATTTCGATGAATTCTGTCACACGTTTTTTTTCAGGGCAGTGATCAATTATGTTCAAAATCTTTGCAATCGATCTAATATTTCCCATAGCCCCCATACAAAGGTATATATTCCCGGAAATGAGTTTATCATTAATAACTCCCTCATATATATCGGCATCAACACAAAATTTTGTACATACAAATATAATACATATGATCAGAAATCATACTATCAACGTAGATCTTAGTCGGTCCATTATTGGTCATAGCTCCCATATAAAGACCACTTCCGAAAATCACTTAAACGCACATATTTAATTGTCAAATAAAGCTATCTTGATAAAATTTCACACAATTATGTTTTGTCTAAATATGAATCACTCTACGAAATATGAATTAATCTACGGATAGGCCCACAATTGGTCATAGCACCCACATAAGGTCCACTTCCTAAAATCACTTAAACGCATATATTTCATTGAATTCTAAAGCTATAGGGATAAAATTCGACTTGAATATGTTTTATGTACATATAAATCATTCTACCAAATCTTTAACGGATCGGTCCATTATTGATCATAGCTCGCATGTAAGGCCCACTTAAGAAAATCACTTAAACGCATATTTATTTCTTTGAATAATAAAGCTATCGGGATAAAGTACGACTTGAATATGTTTTATGAGCATATAAATCATTCTACCAAATTTTTTCCGAATCGGTCCATATTTGGTAATATATATGAGGTCCACTTCAAAAATCTCTTAAACGCACATATTTCATTATAAAATACAGATATCTTGATAAAATTCGACACAAATTTGTTTTGTATACATATGAATCACTCTACGAAATTTTTTCGGATAGGCCCGGAATTGGTCATAAAAAGTTATGAGTAAAAAGTTATGAGTAAAAAGTTATGAGTATAAAATCCACTTCCGAAATGAAAGATATATTTTCACCTTCAAGAAATTTCTTGAAGGGAGTTTGTACGGGAGCTAGTGCCAAATGAGGCCCGATCATTACAAAAATTTCAACCATTTTCAATAGCGTTCGTCCTTGGGCCGGATTTTCATCACCGAGCTTAATCTACTCAGAAAGTGATGCTGAGCCGATTGATATACTTTAAGATGTATGTAGAACCAATATTATTGGGTCTATTTGCTTAACAATCCAACCTTATACTATTTTTTAAATTAACATAAAACATTACATCGGTCATGTTCGGCTATGCCCGACTTGTTTCGTAAAATTTTATTTTTGATACTTTAGAAATCTACTTAGATCATATGTTTTTCTTCTTTCAGAAATGAAACTGAAACCAAATTAACACTACCAATACCCGATACTATAACCACATGGCGTATAACTGCATTTTCAAATAATAATGAAACAGGATTCGATATAGTAAATAATCCAACCGATATCATTACCATACAATCATTTTTTATATCAACAAATCTACCCTACTCAGTGAAACGAGGTGAAATTGTGGCAATACCCATAACAATATTCAATTATTCCAACCAGACACTAGACACCGAAGTTGTTCTATATAATAATGATCAAGAATTCGAATTTATGGAATCTGGAATACAGGGTATAATAAAATCAAATGATGGGCGGCAAAAAACGAAAAAGATTAGTATAACATCGGATAAAGCCAAAACAGTAAAATTTCTTATATATCCCATAAAAGTAGGTGATATAAATTTGAGAATCACTGCCTCTAGCTCTACGTATAATGATGCTATTTTGCAAAAACTTAAAGTTAAACCAGAAGGTGTGCCTAGAGAAACAATTCAGGCTCTATACTTAAGTATTCCGCTGGGAGAAAAAATATCCTCATCATTTAGCATTGAAGAGCCCGAGGATAGTGTACCCGATTCTGACTATATTACCTTCTCTGTAGGTGGTCATTATTTAGTGCCAACAGTGGAGAATTTTGACGATCTAATACAAATGCCCACTGGTTGTGGTGAACAAAATATGGTGAATTTTGCTCCCAGTGTATTAATATTGCAATATCTTAAAGCAAATTATAAGCTCTCCAAAGAAAAGGTTTTGGCAGAAAGTTTACGTTCTTCGATCGAAGTAAGCTACCAACAACAACTGTCCTTTCGTCATGAAAACGGTGGTTATAGTGTTTTTGGCATGGGAATCGATGATGAGCCCAGTACTTGGCTTACTGCTTACGTGGTGCGATACTTTATAAAAGCTTCACTTTTCGTAGATATAGAGGAGTTTATAATTGAATCTGCTTTGGTATATTTGGCCCGTCAGCAAAAGGAAAATGGGGAGTTTACTTTAACGGGTTATTTAATAAATCCAAATCATAAAAATACATATGGACAGACAGCTTTCATATTGTTGGCATTTTTGGAAAATGAAGTAAGTATGAACATAAAAAGGGATTAGTTTTTATATATTTAATTTTTCATTTCAGAAATATGCCAATAAATATCAAAAATTCATACAGAATGGAATAGAATTTTTAAATACAAATTTAGAAAAGGTCAAAGATATCTATGCCTTATCCTTGACAGCAACTGCAATGAAGCGAGCTAAACATGCAAATGCCAATACTCTTATAAATCAGTTAAAGTTCCAAGTAAAAGATAAGAATGGTTTGAAATGGTGGTCAGAAAATGACCAAAATCTAGCGAATGATATAGAAATTACATCATATTCCGCAATGGCTCTGCTTGACACTCCTGGGGATCACACTTCTATCTTAAAGTGGTTAATTGAACAGCGTAATATTAAGGGTGGTTTTAAGTCTTCTTCTGATACTGTAGTAGGAATGGAAGCTTTGGTAAAATTTTCGGAAACATATAAAAATATTAAAGCCCCAAATTTGAAAATTTCCTACACGGCCAAAGATCTGCAAGGTAATGAAGTGGCAAATGATGAATTCTCTGTGAACTCAAACAATATCCTAGATTTGCAAAAACATGAGGTTTGAGAAGATAATTTTATTTATAAACTTAAAATATGTATAAAATTCTAATTTTTCCAGTTACCAAAAACCACACGTCATATTACTTTTGATATGGAGGGTAATGGCGCCTCTTTAGTACAACTCAGTCATCAGTATAACATTGCTAATATAGAAGGATTTAGTCATTTCAATATTCAACCTAAAATTATGTTTAAAATCCCA